ATTAGTTAAATTATTTTTAAATAGGATAACATGCAGATTCTCCAAGATTATTCTCTTCTTCAAATTCAAATGCGGAATTATGAAGCTTATAATGTGAGATAAAATTTTAATAATAGTGTTATTTATTTTTTGTAACAATTTATAAGTAATATTAATAAGTGAAAAAATAATATAAAAAATAATGAAATTAATCAAGGAATCAAAACATCATTTATTATCTTTAAGGCCAAATAATCAAAGAAATTGGTTTGGTTTGGCGATATCTTATCATTTACTTGAGAATTATGAAACAGCTGAAAAGGTTTTGAAAAGCTATGAAGATACATTAAGGGTATTTTTTTTTCCTTTAAAAATTTTTTTTTCTTTTAAAGTCATCATTTCAATACATTAATTAATATTTGTTTGTATTAAAAAAAAATACAGGAAACATCTAGTCCAATGAATTTTGAACGTAGTGAAATATTATTGTATCATAATTTTATTATAGAGGAAAGTGGCGATTTTGAAGCAGCATTGGTTCACCTAGATTCTATAAAAAATAAAATTTGTGATCGTCAAATTTGGAAGGAGAAAAGAGGTTTGTATATTATTAATCAAATTTATATTTTTGATTTTAAACAACTAATCATATGTATATATACATATATTAAATTTTTATTAATAGCACAATTTCTTTTGAAGTTGGGTAAATTGCAAGAAGCAACAGAAGCATATCGAGATTTGATTAATGATAATCCTGATTTCTATGCATATTTTGATGGGTTACTAATCTCTAAAGGGCTGAATATCAGTATGTATGTCAATTAAATTTCATGCTAAAATATTATTGTTCATCATCAATATCTTGATAATGAGATGATCAATCATTATAGATGAATTAACACCCGAGCAAAGAAAAGAAATCTTGGATTTGTTTAAAGATTTGGCTGAGAAATATCCAAAATCTAATGCGATTAAACATTTTCCTTTGAGTTATGCTATCGGTTAGTTAATTTTATAATCCGAAAAATTTATACCTTTATTCTTAATTACTTTGTTTTTTTTTTTTGATTGATTTTAAATTGATAGGTGACACTTTTAGAGCAATGATAGATGAATATATGCAAACGGCTCTTCGAAAAGGTGTTCCTTCATTGTTTGTTAATCTTAAAAAGCTCTATACTGATCTACAAAAAGAAAAAATTATTGAGGAATTAATTGAAGGATATCATCAAAATTTAAATAATAACGGCACTTTTACCCAGAATGGAACTACCAGTGATATCCAAGAACCTCCAACAGCATATCTTTGGACTCTTTATTTGCTTGCACAACATTACGATTATAAACGTGATGTGGTAAAAGCTCTTAAATTTATCAATAAAGCAATTGATCATACACCTACTTTAGTTGAACTATATATGACAAAGGGTCATATTCTTAAGGTTTGAAAAGATTCAATTAATATGCAACAATTTCCATATATTGTAACTCTGAAATAATCTATAGTATATATTTTTAAATTTAGCATGGAGGTGATCTCTTAGAAGCAACGAAGACTATGAATGAAGCTCGTGAACTTGATCTTCAAGACAGGTTCATTAATTCAAAATGTGTCAAATACATGCTTAGATTTGATCAAACAGACGAGGCCGAAAAAACAATTGGTTTATTTACCAGGGTATTTATCATTATCACGATTTTTCTTTTTAATAAAAAAATTATTGTTATTTTACAAATGTAGTAATAAATAAAAATTTTGTTTTAAAGAGTGATGCGTCAGATCCATTAACAGATCTTATTGATATGCAATGTATGTGGTTTGTACTTGAAGAAGGTGAATCTTATATGAGAAGAAGTAAATTAGGTAAAGCTTTGAAACGGTTCCATCAAATTGAAAAGGTATATTCTTAATATACACATCTAAGGTCAATACGCGACTAAAGCAATTGGTTTTATTTTGATCATAATAAGTGTTAATATCATTTACAAAGTTATTTATTAATGGATTTGATAACTTAGCATTTTTTTGATATAACCGATGATCAATTTGATTTTCACACATATTGTCTTCGTAAAGTTACTCTCCGTGCATATGTCAGGTAGATAGTTATTCAAACAAGCAATATATCCTACTATTTTACTTTAACTAATTTTAAAAATTTTTTAAAAAAGTTTATTACGTTTGGAAGATCAACTACGTTCCCATCCTTATTATTTTCGTTCTGCACAAGATGCCATAAAGGTAGATATAAATTAGGATTTTTTTAATTCTAATATTTTATAAAAAAATTTTTTTATCATATATGAAATATTTAGATATATCTTAAATTATATGATAATCCAAACATTGTCTCTCCTAGTGACAATAATCTTGGTTATGGTATGTTTTGATTGTTAAAATTATATATATTATAATAATATTTTAAATTTTTTTATTATCTTAAAAAATAAACATTTTTTTCTAAAAAATAAAAACAGCTAATATGACTGAAAATGAAATCAAAAAGGCCAAAAACAAGGCCAAAAAAGCTGCAATAAAAGCACAAAAGGAAGCTGAAGCAAAAAAGGGTTGGTTATCTTTCAATTAAAAATATATGTATATATTAATACTACTATTGTTATGTGAAAACTTAATTAATCATTATGATTTTAGCACCGGCAAAAGAAGAACAAACAAAAAAGAGGATAGAGAAACCACAAGATGATGATCCAGAGGGTGAAAAGCTTGTTAAGGTTTTGTCTACTTATTTGATTAAACTGTTTATCAATTTAGTATTGTTATTCTTACTTAAATTTCTTAAAGACTATAAATCCTTTAGAAGACGCCTTCAAACTCCTTGTTCCATTACAGGAATTGTCACAAAAAAGGATAGAGACACATTTATTGGCATTTGAAATTTATATAAGAAAAGGTTTTTCCCTTTATAAATATATTACTTGACTAATTAATTTATGAAGATTTAATATTTATTCATTTAAAATTATTATATAGATAAATACTTGTTAGCCTTAAGATCTCTCATACGAGCATATCATATTGATAAGGAAAATCCTTGTTTACACAAGGACATAGTATTGTTTAATTCAAAAGGTAAAAATATAATATTTAAAATTATCTAAAATTATCATATAATAAATATCTAACACGAATTGTGTGTGTATATAGTGTCGAATAATACAAAAATTCATGAAACAACAATTAAAGTTATCGAAGCAGAAAGGTCAAAAATATTACCAGATAATAATGATTCATTAATTCAATTCAATAATGAATTTTTGGAAAAAAATAAAGGGTCAATAGAACATTTATTGGCAGGAGTAGAATCATTGTTAATTATAAATCCGGAGAAAAAACAAGAAGCTGAAGCTCTTTTATTAAAAGTTTATGAAGATGAATATTTAAATAATAGAACGTTGAAAGTATGTCTTAAATTAATTTATTTATTATTTTTGAATCAATAACTTATTTTCAAATTCAATAATTGATTTTTTTTAAAAAAAATAGAATTTTATTTTAGTTTATGAAACACTTAAAAATACCTTTGAATCTCCAATAGCAGAAGAGTTTAAGAAAAAGTGCCAAGAATGGTTTCCGATCTCGACGTATTTCCGTGATTCTGAATAATTTAATATTAATAAATTGTATATTATATAGCGGATTATTATTCTCATTAATTTGACTTAATTTATGGTATCTTTGGAAAAAAAATAAATATATATTTATTATAAAAGCAAACTCACTACACATGGTTGGCGCATATTAACATTAAACCCAATAAACCTAATAGTTAATTGTTGGTTTTTTGGGTTTATTAATATCAATCAACCGTCTATTGGTCAATTTATCACGTGATACATAAAAATAATTTTTGAACCCAATTACACCCTTGAAAAAAAATATATATAGCACAAAAATAAATTTTGGATTTAATTTGATCAAAGTTCATTTGTTGTTAAACCAGCTGCACTGAATTCCCTTTCACTGGCTGCAATGGAGGCAGGAATTGATAAATAATAGGAACATCATACTGATAGTTTTGGTATTCATCTTGATGAGTTTTTCACCATTCTAAAATGTCTACATTTAATTCCTTTTGTATTTTTGAAGACAAATATTGATCAATTTCTTTTTTTTTTCACTTTTGCCATCATCATTGTCATGAAATTTACTAAACCAACATTAAATCTTTTCTTTTTTTTTAATAGGTCTTAACATAAACTTCTTTATGTAAACTATCGCCACCGTCATCACTATTTTATCATTAGCAAGTTGGCTCCAAAATTTTCAACTACTTCATCCTGGATAAAGCTCCTCACAAACTGCTCATGCAGAGCCTTGTCCTTGGGTCAAAGAATAAAGCCAATTTATGTAAACAATAAATTACAATTTTTTCTGTTGTTTTTATAGGGCACCAGTTTGATTTGTTTTAAAATTTCATCATCTGATGAAGATACTTCACAATGAGCTAAAAGAGTTTTATAACAAGGGAGTACAAGATGAATTATTGGATATTTTATGCTTCTAAACATCCACTAAATTCATTTTAATTTATCTTTTTTCAGGACTTGGAAATATCAATACTATTCGAATTGTAATAGCACCTTAGATTTTTCTCTATCTCATTCCACAGTGAGATATTGTATTTAATCAATTCATTATTTATTTTATTTAAATTGGAATTTTTGTAATAAGTTACTTCCTACATTAAAAATTCTGGCATAAATTCATTTTCAAACTACATGTGATAATTTTTCAAAAAATGCATTTCAATGTAGTAAATCAGATAGTAACAAGTCATTTTAAAGGCCTGAATAAAACAGCAACAATAACGAATCCCTTGTTGTGTTTTTTAGTATTAATATAATATATTAATTAAAAAATGGAAAGAAAACCACCTTAATTATGAAATAATCTATTTTATTTGTATAACTAGCCCATTTACTTGTTGACGAAACAAGAACGATGACACTGAAAACAATAATAAAGATGATATTAAATAATTAAATTTGATAATCTTTTAACTCTTTTCTTCATTCAATAAAATTGAGTCTTTTATTGGTAAATGATGACCATGATGATGGCCATGGGCTTCCCAAGGATGTTTTAATCCCTAAATAATCATAATTTTTATTAATAATATTAATAATTAATAATTTAATTTTTACTAACATACCAATAACACCGGAAAATCTTGCTTTCCACGATATAAAATCCCTATAACAATATATATA